TTGTCCTGCGGCTTCCCCTCCTCCTTGCCGCCGCCGCCCTGGCCCGGCAGTGCCACCTCGCCAACGCCCAGCGCCTCGGCTTTGTACTTCTTCACAAAGTCTTCCATTAGCTTCAGCTCACCCTCCGCGAGGCCGCGGCACTGGGACGGGTCCTGGTCGTACAGCGGGAGTTGTCTCATCAGCTGCCGCCGGCGATAGTACGCCCCGTCCGTCCCCGCCACCGGCTGCATCTCCTTCGGGATCAGCTCCATGTACTGCATGGCCTGGGACGGAGAGAGCACCCGCAGTTACCCCGAGCTGCCTTCGGCAGGGACGCACGAGCCTTCTTTGCACGGGTGCTTTGCAAACAGATGCTCCGCTCGCGTTACGGAGCGGCGGCAGAAAACGTGCCCCTTCCCCCCTTTGAGCTGTTCTAACCTACACTTCAGAAATAAAAGGCTGAACTTGCTGAGATGCAAGTAGCAGCCAGGCTACTGTTAATCATTTCATCCTCAGAAAACAGGTTGGGTGGTTTTTTGAGGATTTTTAGTTTTGTTTTTTTTTTAAAAAAAACCCCGAGGCCTCCCAGGAAAGCAAAGCAGCAAAGACTTGCTTCACTAGTTTGCACCCAGAGCCCAACACACCCTCCCTCACCGGCCCTACCGTGCCGCTGTTCCAGGTAATTTGACAACAAGGCTGCTGAAAAGACCAGAAACCCATAAACATCAAAACCTGAGACCAGCCAGCTTCATGCCAGGACGGGGAGAGCACTGACAGCCACCCACTCTACCCAACTATTGATTTTGCAGTAAAGGGAAGAAGTCTGCTCACTGATGCCCTGCAACATGGCAAGTAAATGCCAAGAAACTATCCAAAATAAAGTCTCCTACTCCACTGGCCGCTAGCCACTATCCTAAAAGCAGATCAAACGGTGATCTTGTGAGAGGTCTGTCCCACACGGAATTAGCGTTTGCGGGATGGTGGGGTCTGTACAGTTAACTTCTTCTGGCCTGGTGCTAAGGGGAAGGGAGTTCCCACTCAAGGCATTTTTCCTATTGTAGTGTGAAGAGCTAAGGGGCAGCCAGTTGGCTCGCTGCCATCCCATTTTAAAGACCAGCATCCAGCTGCATTAGATTTGTTTCTTACTTGGTCAGCATTTGAAAACTGAATGGTGAGAGTAGAGAAGCGATTAACCGTTTGCTGTGCATAGTCTGCTTCAGTATGGCCTTTTCAATACAGACACGTCTGCACAACACCGAACAACTCATCACGTCTGTAAGAGCTTCAAAGCCAGCTTACACCTCAGCTCCTCTCAGCCAGACAGCAGCGTTGCAGGGCAAGATTCCTGCCTGAAGACTCACAACAGCGATAGATAAATGATTTAATGGAGGCAGGGCTTCTTCCCCGTTTCTCGGAGCGCGTGTTAACGTCGCTGCACATGATACCAGACATCAACACTCAGTATATCGCGCCTCTGTGCAACGGCAGTAGTGATGTCCAGAAGTTTACTGGGGGAGGGTTGTTGCCCCGTGGGAGCAGGTGCTGCTCGGGAATAGCTGGTTGGAGAGCTGCAGGATGCTGCAGAAGTGATCTGGTGCACAGATGACTTTCACAGAAGCGAGAAATCCTAATAGGAGCTACAGGAGCAAGAGACGAGAACTCCCTGACAGCTCCTCCCAGGCCTCACACAGGCACTGCCCCACGAAATAAGGATGCTGCCCGTGGTATCTGACAGCTGGAAAGAGCAGCGATCAAAGCCTGCATGCCGTACGACCACGAACGTTCAGACAGCGTATGCTATGCGGTCTGCGCTGCCTTGGTTCAGCCGCAGCAAGAGCATTAGCAGAGCAGCTACACGGCAGGATCTTAATGGAAGAAACTCTTAATCCACCACAAACACGCCAAGACGAATGAACGCTTATACCAGAGCTGCGAGAACAGCACCGTGCCAGCACGTGCATCTGAAGCGTCTTGCTCCACTCCAGCACCAGGCTCTCCATTGCCAATACCAAATGTCTGTGCCGAAAGCGAGAGAAAAGCAAAGTCCCAAGCCTTTCTTAAACGTACAGCTGGACGGCTCAGTGGCAGGTTTCAACATCTGCCCAGGCACGTGGTGGGATTTCACTCATTCATCAAGGGAATGCTTAAAGTTATAATTGCAGATGTTACAAAATGTGTCCAGAGAACAGATCAGGGGAAAAAATTCAAGCTGACACCAAAAACTGACATGAAGGATAATAAAACGTTGTTGCTTCTGCTGCTAGCATGTATTATTGCAGTCAAATGCTTTACGATGCTGCCTTAGCACAGGTAACTGAGGAGGAGCATTTTAGGTTTTCACTGTTAACTACTGGATTTTAGAGGTATTTTGTGATTGTTTGTTTTCACTTTCCCCAAGGACCCTGAATATCTAACTTCATAACTTCTCCAGGCCTGGCTTAATGAAAACACGCTCTGAACTTCCTCCTATTATTGGACCATCCACTTCAGGACAGCAATAGCAAAACCAGTCCCAGGTTTCCAGCCTGCCTTCAGAAGGAAATCACCGGAGCAAGTCAGTTATGCACTAAACGCTTTTTGGCCCAAATCCCCTTGAAACCATCCCGAGGATGGCTGACATCCAGCATTTCCCCTACAAGTTTGTCAAGTTGGTCTTCCAGCCAACACTTATCAAGGTTGCCTTCAAAGCTCCTGGCGCACTGTTTGCTTGAAGCAAGACACCTTCCGCTCAGCCCAGGCACTATGAGAGTTCAAAAGCTTCCATGAAGCGCGTCCTTCCCAGCTGCCCCTCGCCAGCGCTGCGGGGACGGGGCTTGCTGCTGCGGGAGCTGCTTGGGATCACCCCAAGCACGCGCTCGCGAGAGGGTATGGTTGGGGTTCAGGCCCGTCGAAGAAGAAAGCAGCCCAGGAGCCGCAGAGTTGGGGCGTCCTTCACGGCAAGGAGCCGACCCTGCCCGAGGCGCCGGCAGCACCGTGCTGCAGCCAGCTCGCAGAGCAGCGAGACCTGGGTTTCTGATAAATCCCAGGCTGGGCAGCGTGCTTAATGAATCAGGTTGGGTGGGAAGAGCGCCAGCATTGTTCTCCCCATCCCTCACCAGCTCCCCGATTCCCCCC